GAGTGACGGCATCCAGTTTCAGGGCCTGATGGAGCCTGGGCCATCCTGTTACTACTCCTGGCCCCAGGCCGCCTCCCGCCTCTCACGGTCTCTATTCCAGGGTCTCCTGCCATACTCCCCCCTATCCATCCGGCCCCCCACCCCCCCACCCCAACCCGCACCTGCTCACACACCTGACCTTTGCAAAAAAAAAAAATGCTGATTTGGTAACTTGATTCCCTGCCTAGCTGCTGTCAAAAGCAGAAAATAAAAGTAGCATGGTGGGGGTGAAGGATAAGGGTGATAGCTGACTAAAGTTCTTACTCTAGCCCCTACCCCAGCCCCTAGCGCCTACCAAACCCCATGATTTGCCCAGAGCCTCGTTCATTCACCCCAAGCCCAATCCCTCACCTCAGGAGTCACTGCTTTTGCCTGGGGATGCACCAGAGTTTGGGGAGCCCCGATGTCTCTTCTCTGCTCTCCCGGGTCCTGTCGGGGTCTCCAGGACTGGAGGGTATGGAATCAGGGGCTGTGGGGGGCACAGGGTCTGAGTGGTGATGGGAACTACCTCTCTGGTCTGCAGGATGAGCTCCACTTCTGCAACTCCCTGCAGTGACGCAGCCCGGTGTCCTGGCCAGGATGGGGTTAGAGGGGACGATGCGGTGGGGGTGGGGGGAGCCTGAAAAAAAATGCCCAGAGGTCCGGAGACAGGGAAGGACAGCGGGACCCAGTCCCAGAGAAGTGGGGGCAAAGAGTGGGGGACAGAGACTCAGAGGGTGTGTGAAAAGACCTGGGAGGGGGTAATAGAGACCAGTGGATGGGGACAGACAGGAAGAGAAAGGGCAGAGAGAGAAAAGGCAGTGGGGGAGTGCGGATCAAAGGAGGGGGAAAGGGCACAGGGAGGGAGGGAGGCCAGATGACAAGGGTGATGGGGACAGACCCAGATGGATGGGCAGAGATCCAGAGAGTGGGAGAGAAAGCCTGGGGGCGGGGGACAGTGTAGGACAGAGAAACAAAGAGGAGGGATAGAGGCCCGGGAAATTGGGGGGTAAGGGGGGGGGGGTAAAAGCAAAGGCCCAGAGAGAAAGGAAAGTCCAAAGGAAAAAGGCATAAAGACCAACAGAAAGAGACTGGGGGTGGGAATACCGAGGCACGGCGGTGGGAGCGGATCCTGAGGCTCAGAAGAGGGAGGGGCAAAGACTCTGAAGAAGGAGGGGGGACACATTCAGAAAGCAATGGGACAACGACCCAGCGGGAGGGAGACCCAGCAGTGTGAGCGCAGAGACGGGAGCACACATGTTTAGAGAAAAGAGCTAAAAAGAAACACAGGAATGGGAGCGGGCGCAGGTGGGGGGGGGGGGCGATACGAACCAGCCTGCAGAAGGAGGCGGCGGGCCAGGGACGCGGCAGCGGGAGGGACCCCCACAGCCCTGACCGGCCCCCTCCGCTCCCGCAGGCACCGCCTCCTCGCGCCGCAGCCGCGCCGCAGCCGCTGGCCCCGCCCCCGCCCCGCCGCCCGCCCCTAGGACCGCAGACCTGGCTCTGGCCCCGCCCACCACAGGCCCCGCCCACTTGCATCTCTCGCCTCCAACCAGGGCTCGCACCTCACCCCGCCCTCTTTCCTATTGGCCCCGCCTATTGCTTCCGCCGCTGTGCTTGCTGGCGCTTGGGTTTCTCCCTCTTCCTGCCTCAGGGCTCCTTCTTCACCACTCCTCATCCATCCTGTGGACCTCTTCTCTGCAGCCGGCCGTTATCGAGACCTTGTCTTTCCCTCAGCAGTTGGAAGTTTTCGCCCCGCCCTCTAAGTCCCTATTGACCCTTAGGACTTTCTCCCCTTTGCAGGCCCCCCTCCCCGCCCCCTTGCAGCCTGGTAGTTTTGTACTCGTTCCAGGTCCCTTAGCATCCCCCTCCTCCCACCTTCCGTTCTTCCCCCTCCTCCCTTCTCCCGTTCTTTATCCTCTCTTGGCCTCGCCTCGCCCCAGACTAGTCTAGTTGCTTTCTAGCCCCTCAAAGCCTCGCGCCTCCCTTAGTCTCGTCTTCCCTCAGCTCATTCAAGAGGCTTTCTACCATTCTGAGACCCCGTCCACCTTCTTCAATCCTGACACTAATTATCCCGGTCCAGCCCCATCTAATTAGGCCAAGTTTGCAGCCCCGGCCCCGCCCCTTCTTTACCCTGCCCCGACGGGAATTCCTAGCCAGCCGCTTTCAGGTTTACAGGGCTCGCTCACTGGGTCTCGGTTCCTGGAACCCCTGTCCTGTCCCCTGTCAGTCCAGCAGCCTAGTGCCATTTCTCGAGACTGTACCCTCCACTCTCCATTTCCAGCTCCCCGCCTTCCTTTCGTCCCGTCTCCTCACTCTCCAGACCAATCAAGAAGTTTCTACTATATGTTTTCCGACCCCGCCTCTTTTTAAGATCCGCCCTTTCTAGTCCCAGCAAAGTTAGGAGCCCAACCTCACAGTCTCCATCTGTCCTCCCCTCCTCCTCCACCAGATTCTGCTTATCCACCTCTTTAGGTTCGGGCCCCCTTCTCTGTCCAATCAGAATGGTCTCTCCGGTTGTGGCCCCGCCCCCTAGCTCAGTCTGTCCCGGCCAGTCCTGCCTCTTTAAATAGTTTGGACTTGGTCCCTTTTCTCTGCTCCGCCCCATCCTTTTTTTTTTTCAATTATATCTAATCCCGCCTCCTTCGTTCTCTGCGCTGCCAAGCCAGCCTACATGACCGCCTTCTTTAACACCTCGCCGCCAATCGGTGTGTCTCATTGGCTGCCCCGCCCCATTCAGCTTGGCCGGGTTAGAGTCCCAATCCTTTTCTCTCTGCTTCAAACTCCGCCCCACCATCCTTCCGGCCAATCACGTTCGTTGCTTCCCTCTTTAGGCCCCGCCCCTCCGTGTATAGTTTCCCCACCCAATCACGTCTGCCGTTCCCCATAGGCCCCGCCCTCTGCCCCGCCCCTCCGGCCCCGCCCCCCGTCCAATGCTGAGCTCAGTCTGCGTCTCGTCCTTCCGCGGGCGCCAGGGGGCCGGCAAGCAGCAGCCCGCACCGCCGCCGCAGCCTCCCGACTCCCCGCCGCCGCCGCCGCCGCTGCAGCAGCAGCAGCAGCCGCAGCCTGCGCAGCCCGGCCCCGCCGCGTCCCCGGCGGGCGCCCCGGCATCCCGCGGGCCCGGGCACCGGCGCGCCGAGCCATGCCCCGGGCTGCCGGCGGCGGCCATGGGGCGGCACAGCGGCGGCGGTGGCGACAGCGACAAGATCGTGATCAACGTGGGCGGCGTGCGCCATGAGACGTACCGCTCGACGCTGCGCACCCTCCCGGGGACGCGGCTGGCCTGCCTGACGGAGCCCGAGGCGGCGGCGCGCTTCGACTACGACCCCGGCACCGACGAGTTCTTCTTCGACCGGCACCCGGGCGTCTTCGCCTACGTGCTCAACTACTACCGCACCGGCAAGCTGCACTGCCCGTCCGACGTGTGCGGGCCGCTGTTCGAGGAGGAGCTCGGCTTCTGGGGCATCGACGAGACCGACGTGGAGGCCTGCTGCTGGATGACCTACCGGCAGCACCGCGATGCCGAGGAGGCGCTCGACTCCTTCGAGGCGCCCGACTCCGCGGGCGGCGCCAACGCCTCCAACGCCGCGGGCGCCCACGACGGGGGCCTGGACGACGAGGCGGGCGTGGGCGGCGGCGGCCTGGACGGCGCGGGCGGCGAGCTCAAGCGCCTCTGCTTCCAGGAGGCGGGCGGCGGCGCCGGGGGACCGCCAGGGGGCGCGGGCGGCGCGGGCGGCACGTGGTGGCGCCGCTGGCAACCTCGCGTGTGGGCGCTCTTCGAGGACCCCTACTCGTCGCGGGCAGCCAGGGTGAGCGCGCTGTCGGAGCCCCCGCCCCTCTCCCCTCCGCTCCCCGCCCCTCCCCACGCGCTTCCAGACCCTCAGGAGCGCCCCATACAGCCTCAGATTCCCATGGGCACTCCTTAGCACACACCCCCTGCTCCTGGGCATCCTCAGATCATCAGACGTTTCTCCAAACTTCTGAATCCCCCATTCCCTTTCAACCCTCACCCCGCTTCTCTGCATCACCCCGCCTCGACCCTTAGGAACTCCCTCCTGGGCCCCTCTGAACAACCTCACCCTCTGAAGGACCCCCTAGACCTTCAGAAGACCTTTTCCGGGCCCTCAGTCACCGGAACCCCCCTAAGCCCCTTCTCACTTCTCTTGGGCACCCCCAGCCCCTTCGAAGACCCTTCCCCAGCCCTCAGGTTCTTGGACCTTCTCCAGACCCTCAGAAGACATCCTTTGCTCCCCCTCAAAGTGTCCCAAGCTCTGTGCAAACTGCCCCCTTCCTCTGCCTCCTGCACCCCCTCCCCAGCCTCCTCTCCAGCCCTCACTTCCTCAGACTCTTCCCAGCAGCTCCCCGTGCCTTTTCCCTTTGCCCCTCTCCCTGACCCCCTCCTGGCTATTTTTGAATCCCCTGTCTCAGGAGACTCCCCCACCCCAGCTTCAGGGCCCCTGGACCCCTCTGAACCTCCAAACCACTTGCTCTGGCTAGGGCACCTCCCCCTCCTCCTCCCCATCACTGCAACAGTCAATCCTGGGACATTTTTTCTCCTGGGGCCTTCGGGACCCCTCTGTTCAAGTCCCTTCCTGCATCCTCCACGCCAGTTCGCATCCCAAGGACTTTCCCATAAAGCTCGAGACCTCCCCAGAGCCTCTTTCCCATTCCTCAGTTTCTCCTGACACCCCCCCCCCCCCATATGCGTGTCCCCTTCAGAGCCTCCCATATGCTCTCCAGAATGCCTCCTCTTCACCCCCAGCTTCTCCCTTCCCTCACTTACTGCACAGCCCATCCCTCTCTCCGGGACAACCCCCTGCCCCCCAACTCCCAGCCGCTTTCCTAGTAGATGAATGACTTTTTCTTCTGCTGCAGAACTTTAAGCTTAATCCTTGGGACCTCCCTCAAGTGATCAGCCCCACAACTTTCTTCTCAAAACAGTTTCCACTTCTTCCCTGCCTTGGTATCCTTGTGACCCCAGCCCTGCTCGCTTCCCCTTTCCCAAGATGACCCCCCCCAACACACACACACACACACACACACACACACACACACACACACAGTCAAAGCCCTGGACTGAGCGCCTCAGCTTCTCCCCCATCCCCAAGGTGAACAAATTCCAAATTCCACCCCCCCTCCCCGCAGCTCCCTTTACTTCCCCCAAAAACTTTTATAACTTTAAACATTCCTAACTTCCTAGGCTCAATAGCTACCCTTCCCCCCAGTTCTGCCTTTCTCATCCTAACTTCCTCCCGGTGCTGGAAGAGAGGAGAGCAGTTCAAAACTTGGGGGGGGGGGCGGGTTACAGGGAAAGAGGGGCGACTTCAGGGACCCCTCGTAGCCTCCTGGGGACACAGACACCCAGAGGAGCCGGTTCCGCCCCCTCCCCCCTCCGTGCCGCGTCCTGAGCCGGGAAGGACACGGAGCCGCAGTGCCGCATTCACGCTGGGGGAGGGCACGAGGGGGAGGGGGGCCCGGAGGCACCGCATAAAGTTTGGTCCCCGGGAAGCGCTGAGTTGGCGAGATTTGGGGTTGGGTGGGGATAGGTGAGGAGGATGAGGTACAGAAGGGACGTGGCCCTACATGCCCCCTCAAGCTTCCGAGGGCTCTTTTCCCCCCCTGGCCTGGGGTGCCCTTCCCTCTTGCCACCCCATTGGAGGGTCCCGAGGTGAGGCTGGATGTCCGGGACAGCTTTGGGGGGAGGGGGGTCACTCATTTACTCCGCAAATATATTTTGAGCGCCCTCAGCATGCCGGTCCCTTTCCAGCCTCCCAAGTAGATAGCTTAGCAGAGGTAGGAGCGGAGGCCAATGGAAAGTGGAGGGTGTCTACTATTCCCCTCCCCCAACACACACACACACACACACACACACACACACTCCCTTCTTCGTAATCTCTCCTTCCCTTACAGGGACTTCAGGTCCTACGCTGCTTTTGAACCGTCTGGGGGCAAAGGGTTAAACCAGTCCCCACGCTGTGCCCTGCGGGAGCCCCCCTTCCTGTCTGTGTCCCGGGCGGGAAGGAGTTAAACTTGCTCCGGGCCCGCGGCCTCCCGCTGGGAAGCGGCGGCACTGCGGCTGCGCACCGCCCGCTCCGCCGCGGCGCCGAAGGGGTTAAGGCGGCTCCCAGCTGCTGCGGCTGCGCACTGCGGCGGGGGAGCTGTCCGCGGTGCTGGCCGCCGCGCCCGCCCCCCGGCCCGGCCCGGCCGGCCCGCCCCCACTGCGGTGCCGCAGCCGCTCCGGGCATGCGCTCTGCGGCGGCCCGTGGCCTCTTAAACCACTGCGGAGAAACGGAGAGGGGGCGGGGCGGAGAGGGCACCCGCTGACCCTCAGCCCAAGGTTTAGGGTCTCTGCAGCCTGACCCTGGCCCCCCTCTTTTCTCTGCCCCTCCGCCTCGTCTCTCCATGTGATGAAAGCCTCCTCTTTGCCCCAACACTCATCCCCTTCCCTCTCCGAGGACTAGCCTCATAGCCCACTCTCCTCTCCAGGGGCCTCCTCCATCCCCTTCTCCCAGATCTTGACCTGCCCTCTCCCTAACTCAGGGCTTTCATCAAATCCCACAACCTTGTTCGGCAGGGTTCTAGTCCTCCCCCCAACTGAAATGGCGAGGCTCGCCTCCACTCGCGCTTCTCTGCACCTCTGAGAGGCCGCTCACCTTTCTTTGGCCCTAGTCCTGCCCTTTCCGCAACGGCCAGGCCCCGACCCTCCCTCCCCTTTGAGGGCCTTACCCCACCTCTCTTAACCTGCGCCTGTACCCCCTCCCCTTTTGCAGATTTGACACTTCACTTCCTCCCACCTTCAGGGCCCTAAAAGCTCCCTCCACTTTGTGGTTCCGCCCCTGTCCTGTCCTCTTGGGGAAGGGCCTCACCCAGCCCTCTCACTTTTCTGGGGCACAGACATTGGCACCAGGGTCCTTACACCCTGGCTCCTTGCCCCCCACTAACTGATGCCCCCATGGCCTCACAGAGCTCAGACCTCACTGAGTTCCAGACACTGGGCCAAGCACTGTTTTTCTGCGGCGAGGCTTTTTGTCCACTCATCTAATGTCATCCTCGTAATAATCCTGCAAAAACTTGAGGTTTGGGAAGCCTAATTGCTTTGCCCAAGCTAGGCAGAGGGAAGGCTGGATTCAAACCCAAGATTTTACTGTTAGCACCTCATGATTTCACCTTCCCCCCTTCCCCAACCCTCCGCTCCAAGCCCCCTTCAAACCTTCTGAGATACAGAGGGTGAGCAATCTCTGTCTCACCTGAGCCCAGAGATTGACACGGGGAATCAGAGGGCGGTGGGGGGGGGTGGGGGGGGGGTAGGGAGGGGGGGTGGTCTAGGCCAGTGGTCGGCAAACTCATCAGTCAACAGAGCCAAATACCAACAGTACAACGATTGAAATTTCTCTTGAGAGCCCCGTTTTTTAAACTTCCAATGCCACTTTGTCAAAACAGACTTGCCCAGGCCGTGGTATTTTGCGGAAGAGCCACACTCAAGGGGCCAAAGAGCCACATGCGGCTCGCGAGCCGCAGTTTGCCGACCGCGGGTCTAGGCCACAGAGCCTGAGGCCAGCAATTGCTGTTTTCAGGACAGAAGTTGCCCATGGGCTGCGGCTACGGGGCCAGCTCCTCTCCCGAGCCGGGGGACAGGGGCCTGGCCCTCTGCCTTCCCTTCTGCAGCTTCACTGCGGAGAGGGGGGCATCTGGGCTGGGAAAGGAGCCCCCGGGAGGGTCCTGTGGAGATGGCGGCGAGGCGACCAGATGCCCGGGTCACCCTTTGCCTTCTCTCTCTCTCTCCCACCTGCCCTGCCCGCAGTACGTGGCCTTCGCCTCCCTCTTCTTCATCCTCATTTCCATCACCACCTTCTGCCTGGAGACCCACGAGGGCTTCATCCACATCATCAACAAGACGGTGACTCAGGCCTCCCCGATCCCCGGGGCCCCGCCAGAGAACGTCACCAACTTCGAGGTGGAGACGGAGCCCTTCCTGACCTACGTGGAGGGCGTGTGCGTGGTCTGGTTCACCTTCGAGTTCCTCATGCGCATCACCTTCTGCCCGGACAAGGTGGAGTTCCTCAAGAGCAGCCTCAACATCATCGACTGCGTGGCCATCCTGCCCTTCTACCTGGAGGTGGGGCTGTCGGGCCTGAGCTCCAAGGCCGCCAAGGACGTGCTGGGCTTCCTGCGCGTGGTGCGCTTCGTGCGCATCCTGCGCATCTTCAAGCTCACGCGCCACTTCGTGGGGCTGCGGGTGCTGGGCCACACGCTGCGCGCCAGCACCAACGAGTTCCTGCTGCTCATCATCTTCCTGGCGCTGGGCGTGCTCATCTTCGCCACCATGATCTACTACGCCGAGCGCATCGGCGCCGACCCGGACGACATCCTGGGCTCCAACCACACCTACTTCAAGAACATCCCCATCGGCTTCTGGTGGGCCGTGGTCACCATGACGACCCTGGGCTACGGAGACATGTACCCCAAGACGTGGTCGGGGATGCTGGTCGGGGCGCTGTGCGCGCTGGCCGGGGTGCTGACCATCGCCATGCCCGTGCCCGTCATCGTCAACAACTTCGGCATGTACTACTCGCTGGCCATGGCCAAGCAGAAGCTGCCCAAGAAGAAGAACAAACACATCCCCCGGCCCCCGCTGCCCGGCTCGCCCAACTACTGCAAACCCGAGCCGCCCCTGCCGCCCCTGCCCCCCCCTCACCACGGCAGCAGCGGCGGCATCAGCCCCCCGCCCCCCATCACCCCGCCCTCCATGGGGGTGACTATGGCCGGGGCCTACCCTCCGGGGCCCCACTCGCACCCGGGGCTGCTCAGGGGGGGAGCGGGCGGGCTCGGGATCATGGGGCTGCCCCCTCTGCCGGCCCCCGGGGAGCCTTGCCCGCTGGCTCAGGAGGAAGTGATTGAGATCAACCGGGCAGGTGAGGAGGGGGCGCCGGCCCAGATGCGTGGGAGGAGGGGGGGGCAGGAGAGGGGTGCCGAGGTTCAGAGACGGGATGGTCAGCAACAGAGAGGGGAGAGGAGAGGGAATAGCAGTTGCCGAGGTCGGAGAAGCGGCACAGACATAGGCAGTGACGGAGAGAGATTTTGCGTGAAAGCCAGTTTTGGGGAGAAACAGACTTGCAGCCGGAGCGTTCAGAGGGACCCAGGGGCGAGGGTCGCACACGTGAACCTGGGCTGGCCGGAGAGGAGACCAAGAGGTGGTTTCAGCATCTGAGCTCCCCGGGGGACAGCCCGAGAGGATGGCCCACCGGCCACAGCGTCTGGAACTACGAGATTGTCTCTGGGAACGGGGGCGGGGGGCAGAGACAGAGAGAGCTGTGAGGGGTTGGCAGCAGAGAGTTCAGGCTGAGTAACAGTCAGGCCAAGAGAGGAGGTAAGACTTCAAACTGAAATCGAAGGGTCCGAGAGCGTCTAGGGGAGACCGGCCGGAGGGTGGGGAGGCCACGTGACAGGACAGTGACCTGGGACCCGGGGCCCAGGCTCTGTAGAGGGTCTGAGGGTCCGAGATGCCGCCCCGAGGAGGGGAGACAGGGAGACCGGAGTGGCCTGTGCCTGTGCCTCCCCCAGGGGAGCTGCCCCGGAGGCAGGGACTGGGGTGTCAGCCTGGGAGGATGGAGAGGCCGGTGGGCCCCACCCCCATGTCTTAAGTAGGTCAAGAAAGGGAGCTGGGCCGCCCGGCCCCCATCTTGCTCCCTCAGCCACTGACCCAGTTTCGCACCAATTAAAAATAGCCCAAGTCAGAGCCTGGGGACCCCCACTCTCCCTCCCTCATCTGGCACCCTCTTAACCCTTCCACTGTGTCCTTCCCAGCGCCCCAGCCATCTACCCCCACCCACCACCCCGCCCACCCAACTAACCACCCACCCAACTATCCACCCAACACCCTGCCACCCACCACCCCACCCACCCACCCAACATCCCATCCAACCAACACCCCACCACCCACCACCCCACCCACCCACCCAACACCCCACCCACCCAACTCCTTACCCACTCAACACCCTGCCCACCCAACACTCTACCCACCCAACACCCTACCCAGTCCTGCCTGACAGTTCACTTGACCCAATGACCCCCCAACACTCTGTCCCAGCCCCCTTTCCAGCATCCAGCTTGCTTCCCAGCCCCCTCTTGCCCATGTCCTCCCCCACCCATCCCTCCAAATGCCCAACACCCAGCCCCAGCCTGCCATTCCAAGCCCTGGCACCTGGCCTGACTAGCACTCCACACCTTCCTTCATCACCTTCATCCAACCCTGTCCCCTAACCACCTCTGCCTACCCCGTTGTCCTCAAAAGGCAACACCCTTCCACCTTGGCCGGTGTTGCCCAGTGGTTAGAGTGCCAGCCTGTTCTTGGGTTCAGTTCTCAGTCCAGGGCACGCACCTGGGTTGCAGCTTGATCCCCTGGGTGCAGGAGGCAAGCGATTGGTATGTCTCTCTCACGTCGATGTTTCTCTCTCTGTCTCTCCCGCTCCCCCTTTCTCTTCCACTCTCTCTAAAAATCAATGGAAAAGTATCCTCAGGTGAGGGTTACCAAAAAATACTGCCCAAAACTCAACCTCCTTCCCCCGTGACCCGCTCCCCAAATCCACCAGCCATGCCCCCCACACCCTGCTCCCAGCTGAGCCCCTCCTGTCATCTCCTGACCCCGGCCCGCCAGCACCCTGTCCCTGCGTCCCCACACTCACTCCTGCCTCTGTCTCCGTCCGGCCCGCACACAGATCCCCGCCCCAATGGAGACCCGGCCGCGGCCGCGCTGGCCCACGAGGACTGCCCGGCCATCGACCAGCCCGCCATGTCCCCGGAGGACAGGAGCCCCATCACCCCCGGGAGCCGCGGCCGCTACAGCCGGGACCGGGCCTGCTTCCTGCTCACGGACTACGCCCCCTCCCCTGACGGCTCCATCCGGAAAGGTGAGGCGCCCTCCGCTGGCCGGGACCCTCCCTCTCTCGCCTCCCCTCGGGGAGGGGGGAGAGGGGGAGGGGGAGGGGTGATGGACTCCCTTTCCCGCTCCCTGGCCCCAAATCTCCTCCTTCCCAGACCCCCCCCCACCCCCTCCCCGAGTGTCCTCGCCACTGACCCTTCACCTGTCTTTATTGCATCTCCATTTCCCCCGCCCCGACCCTCTGGCCTCTTCCCCACCCCCAGCCACCGGTGCTCCCCCACTGCCCCCCCCCGACTGGCGTAAGCCAGGCCCCCCCAGCTTCTTGCCCGACCTCAACGCCAACGCTGCAGCCTGGATATCCCCCTAGCGGACGAACCCCCTCCCCCGGGGTAAGTAGCTCCTGACCTCTGGCCCCCCTCCTCTCGACTAACACCCCCCCCCCCCCCGAGAACATGCAGCCCCCACTGACCAAGACCCCCGCCCGCCATGAAGAGCTCCATCTGATTAACCTTCGGTCCCGTCGCCGACCCCACACTGCCCCCCCGCCCGGACCCGCCGGCTCCTCACTCACCCCACCTCCCACCATGTGCCTGCCCCCCGGCCCTCCCACCTGACCCATCCTCACTCCGTCTGGGTGTTCAACATCCCACCGAGAAAACGGGGTACACTCCCAGGATGCGAGATGGGGTGAGAAAGTCTGGGCCACCCAGTCAGTGCCTTGTGGACTGGCAGCTTAGCACCCACAGTCCCGCCCCGGACGTCAGCCAGCAAAACGGGCCCCCTCCCCGGAGCAGCTGGGAGGGGCAGACGCAGTCGGAAGGTCGCTGTTTGCGGTGACGTGTGCACGTGGAGGCGGCAGGGCCCCGGGTAGGAGCAAGCCCCAGCGAAGGCTTCGGGAGGAATCGGGCACTGATGGGGAAGGGGTCCCGTTAGACAGCAGTGACCAGGCAGAGCCAAGCCAGAGCCCGGCCGAGGCGGCAGCCACGAGGCAGGAAGCAGGGCTGGCTGAGGCCGGGACCGGGGCCGGGACCGGGGCCGGGGCCGGGGCCGGGGAGAGCAGGTCCCTCTGGGTCCTTGGGATGGACCGGAGGGCAGGCCTGGGAGACCCGGACAGGGTCCATGGGGTCAGGGCTGTGAGGGAAGGAAGGGAGGGAGGGAGGGAGGGAGGGAGGGGGGAAAGGAGGGAGGATAGGAAAGATAGGAAAGAAGGAAGGAGAGAGAGGCGGAAGGAAGGAAGGAAGGAAGGAAGGAGAGACAGAAGGAAGGAAGGAAGGAAGGAGAGAGAGAAGGAAGGAAGGAAGGAAGGAAGGAAGGAAGGAAGGAAGGAAGGAGAGAGGCACAGGAGGAAAAGGGCTGGGGACTGGCCTGGGAGGTCGGGGGACACGGTGAAGAGAGAGTTGTTAGTGAGTCATTCGGCAAACACAACCAAGCACTTCCCACACGCCAGGAATTTAACATGCCTTTGTAACCCTCACACCGCCCTGCGAGCCCCCAGCTCCACCCCCCACCCAGTCATTCATTTAACTACGGACTCCCGAGGAGGCCACCGTCACCTAGGCCTGCACAGAGCCAGGGTCTGCCCTCAGAGTTTATAGCTTAGGTGGGCATGCTGCAGCCCGCAGGCCAGCTCTGTCAGCCAGCGGTTTTGTCAATAAAACTTTATTGGAACATATCCCTGTTATGCTCCCAGAGGAATAGTGAGGACAGAGACCGTGCAGAGCCGAACATGTTCACTCCCTGGCCCTTTAAGGAAAAGTCTGATGCCCCCTGATGGGAGGCAGCAGAAATTAAACAAATAAAAAAACAAAACAAAAAGTCTCTGGCCACGATTAGGGCTGTGGAAGGGCTTTTGGAGGTGACACGAAACCTAAAGGTGGAAAGGCCGGCAGGGGAAGAGGGAACAGCAGGTGCAAAGGCCCTGGGGTCCCAGGTGGGCGAGCTTGGTGCCGGAAGGAACTGCCAGGAGGGGGTGAGGCCAGAGCTGAGCAGCCGCAGGGAGAGGGGGAGAGGGGGCGACGGGGCGGACAGCCTGTGCCCAAAGAGCAGGAGGGCGCTGGCCACGGGGGCTGCCCTGGTCCGGAGAGTGAGGAGGAGGAATGTGACCCATCGCTTTCTCCCTTCCACAAACACCTGCGGACGCTGCCTTAGAAACAGGGGTACATCCCACATCTCTGCCGCAGCCTCCGGAGAGGCTGGCATGGGGCGTGCGGCTTGGGGCTCTCAGGGAGCCTCCGGGCGGCCTTGTCCCAGCCCCTGTGTCTCAGAAGTTCAGGGAGGGCCGTGACTGCCCCAGGCCACCGGCAGGGGGAGGACAGCCCAGGCTTCCGGTTCAGACAGAACCACGGGGGGGGGGGGGGGCTGTCAGGCTCTTGTTCCCTCCCTCCCCCTCCTTGTTGCCCTCCCCTCACGCCCTCTTCATTGTCATCTCATCACCAGCCCCTCCCCCCTCCCATCTCACCCTCCCCGCTTGCACCCAGTCCCCTTCCCACTCTGTCCCCCTCCTTCAGGTCTGGATGGGCCCCTTGGAACGGAGGGGGGCCGGGGGAGTGGGGGGAGGGGAACGGGGGGGGTGAGGGAGGGCTGGGCTGGGCCGGGGGAGCGGGGCGGGGGGGGGAGGTCTCTGCTTCTCTTGCCTCTGATGCCAAAATCCATTCATTGAACTCAAATAATGGCTGGAGCTGATGGGGCTGACTGGACCCTGGATCCCCCTCCCTCACTTTCCCCTCCCCCCCCCACCCGCCCCCCATGGCCCGCCCTCCTCTGCTGCTCCCTCCCCTCCTCCCAAGACCCTTCCTCCTGGTGTGTGTCCCCCACCCAGGACCGCTCCCTCCCTCATCTCCCCTCACCAGCCACCTGAGTCCAACCCTGGACACGTGCTCCCCCTCCTCCCCAGCCTTCTCCTCCCTCCTCCCATCCCCCCCAACCCCAGCCACCCCGGACGCTCCTCCCATATTTGATGTCTCCGGCCGCCCCATTTCACTGCTCCCCTCCCCGGAAAACACTAGAGAGGAGGAAGAGATCCGGCTTTTCTCCGACCCCCAACCGCGAGGCCATGCTGGGGGGCTCCCGTGGCGCCCTCCCCCGCCATGACTCTGTGCATTTCTGTCCCCAGCTCTTGTCACCGCCTGAGGCCTCCAGAGACCCTCGGTCCCCCCCTGCCCCTTCCCCCCAGGTTAGCAACGGGAATGGCTGGGAAGGGGCGTCCCCTAGGGAGTGGGCTCCCGACCCCTCAGGCTCTCCCTCCTGTGGTCTCAGACAGGCCCCAGGCTTCCCAGAGACACCCCCCATCCCCATGCTCCGTGACCTTAGGCCCCATCTTAGATCCCCTTCCGGCCAGAAGGTTCCCATGGGCACTCCCTGGCCCCTGCCCGCCTTCAGGTGAGCCAGCCTGGCCCCTCCGACTGCTCTGCAGCTGTGGATGGGGGCGCCGCCGGCCGTGACCCCGTCTGCTCGGCCCCTCACAGCCCCTTCCCTCCACAAGTAGGTTAGCTCCCCCTGCAGGCCTGCCCTCGCCCTCCCGGCTGCACCCCTGCCTTCCACCTGAGCTCCCGCCCATGCCCCTGCTGCCACCATCCGCCTTGCTGCCCCCCCCTTATGCTCAGATGAGGGGGCCTGTGGGGGGCGGGCTGCGTGGGGATGGGATGGGATGGGTGGGGGGGGCTCCGTGGGCGCCACCTGCCTCCTAACCCTGAGTCTCTCCCCCCTCCCCGTGTCTGACCCTTTCTCCTCGACGCCACTGACTGTGCGATTTGTTCACTTCTCTCTCTCTCCCCGTCTCCTCGGCCCGCCTGTCCGTGTCCGCCTCGCCCGCCCCGTCTGGCCGTGTCCGGGGCCCGATGGCTCTGTCTCTCCCGCGTGTCTCTCCTCTCGCCTTCTCTGTCTCTGGCTTTCCCTGCCCCTGCCTCTCTCCGGCTGGCTGGCGTCCTTTCTGGCTGTCTCTCTCCTGCCTCCCTCCCTCCCTCGCTCTCTCCGTCTTGGGGTCTCTCTGTCTCTGGGACCCTCCCCTGCACCCTGACTCCACGCTTCCTCCCCGTGTTTCCGCCTCACCCCCCACCCCCCAGGTTACGAGAAATCCCGCAGCCTGAGCAGCATCGCGGGCCTGAGCGGCGTGTCTCTGCGCCTCGCGCCCCTAGCCACTCCCCCCGGCTCCCCCAGGGCCGCCCGCCGGGCTCCCCCAACCTTGCCCTCCATCCTCTAGCGCTCCCCTCCCCCCTGTGGGGGGACTCGGGGGTGACAGGGAAGGTCAAAGGAGCTGGGGTTCGGGGAAAGGCTTTATTTTATATATATAAAACAATCAAAAAGTCAATAATATGCAACGGAGACGACCATCACGCCAGCAGACACCCCCGGGCCCCTCACCCCCACCCGGGCCGCAGGATGGAGGGGGAGGGGCCAAGCCCTACGCCCTCCAGCTCTCCCCTCCCCCCCCCCAAATAAAGCCTTCTCAGGTCTCCATGAGCCATAGGACACCCTCTCCCATCAGCTCGTGTAAATACGTCCAAATTATGCCAATTACATAGGGGCACCTCCCCGCCACTGTGCATGCTCCAACCCAGACCCCGACCCCAGCTCCACCTCAGCAATGAGCCCAGGGCTGCATGCCGCGCGGTTGAGGGGAGGGGCACTCTGGGGAGGGGGCGTGGAGCCTCGAGGGGGTTGGGTGGGGTGCAGGGGGGTCTCCTTGCCCCCTCCCCTCCCCCCCTCCTGGAGGGCGGCCCATCCTGCATGGATTACAAATAAAAATTAGCGACCACACTGGGGGAGGAGGGACAGCCATCCAGCCAAACACCCGAGCTGAGCTCAGATGGCAGAAGCAGGGCGCTGCGGCCAGCTGCTCCCTCAGCCTTGAGGAGGGTCCCTCTGGTGGATTGCACCCGTTCACCCCCACCCCCAGCCCCACCCCCACAGGATCTGCTCGCCTCTGTGCTTGCTGCATGGACTCGGACCTCCTGAGAAGTCTGGCCCCAGCACACACACATCCCCCAGTGCCCCTCCAGGTTCCCGGGACATGAGCCCTGCACCCAGAATTCCTGACACTGGCCCTGGCACCCCGCATCCTCCAAACCCCCCCCCCCCCAACTTAGTCCCTGCACACAGATGCCGCCCCCAACCCAGCCCCACGGCCAGCCACTCCCTGGAGTGCATCCCGGTGCCTCCGCCCTCCAAGAGGCGCCCAGCCTGCAGCTTCTCTCTGCCTTTGGGATGCTCCAGACCCTTCCCGGTCTCAGACACTTCCTGGACACCCCGAATCCTCAGGCCTCAACCCCACCAGACACCCACCTCAGGCTCCCCTGGCCCCTAGGATTTCCAAGGCGGGCTCAGATCTGCCTGCCCTTCCAGGGAACCTGATCTTCCCAGGGCACCCCATTTCTTAGGCCCAACCCGCCCCCCCCAACATGCCTTCCCTTAAATGACACCCTCTTCACGGACACCAGTGCTCCCCAGAGCGTGTGTTCGTGCCTCTGACCTGCTGAGGTCCAGGCAGTGCGAGGACGAGCACCCGGGAGCTCGTGTCTTTGCTGGGGTTCTGCCTTTTAGGGCGCTTTGCTCAGAGGCTGCCAGTGAGTCCAGGTTGTGAGGCGCCGGTTATTGAGGTCACGTATCTCCATCTAGAGACGGCCGAACGGACGGACGGACACTGGGACATGGAGGCTTAGGCAACCACCCACCCACCTGGGCGGGGACCCCAGCCCGCGGTTCCCGTGTTCCCCGCCCCCCATGCCCGCGGGTAGGAAAATCCCTCCTCACATCCCATCCTGGCTCAAGGATGCGCTACCTCCCCCAAGCCTGGAGACCACCCCGGTCCCAGAATCCTTAGAGGAACCCCCCCCCCCCCCCCGCTTTTGGAGCCGGGGGCCCACAGAATTAGCAGCCTTCCTCCTCCCTGTGCTCCCACAGCCTCAGGAACCCCACCCGAGGGGTGGGGGGTGGGGTGTCACTGAGCACGATTCTTGATGCAACGATTCCTATGCAAGGGGCACTTCGAGTCCCCCCCATCCTTCCCCTCGGACCCTAAACCCTGGCGAATCTGGGGCGAGGGGAGGGGCAGGTTCTGCGGGGAGCGGGGCGGGGCAAAGGGCTAGGGGCCCCAGACACCAGGGTATGGGGGTGGGGACTGATTCTATTGCCAAAGGGTTTAACTTCTTAAAAAAAAAAAAAAGCCCCCCCCCCCCGTCCCCATTCCCCAGACCCTCACGGGAGACGGGGAAAGGGGGGCGAGATCTTTTCCAAAGGGTACAGACCTCTTCCCTCCGTCTCCCCCCGCCCCCCACCTGCCACCGTACCCAGCTTTTTAGTTCAGCTTTTAAAAGTAACCACGATCATGATAAGCCTCCACAAAACGTGATTCTCATCCCCCCAAGTCAATAAACAACGTGGGATTCGGGGGGGGGGGGGAGGGGAGCGAGCTAAAGGGACGACTTCCGCTCCCGCTCACTTTCCCACGCCCCGCCCCGCCCCTTTCCCACGCCCCGCCCCGCCGCCAGGGCGCCCGCAACTGCACGCATGCGCTGCATGACGCTCCCCACTCGCATGTGGCGCCCTCCTGCGCTCGGCACGCACGGGCACGGGGCGGGGGGCGGGGCGGGGGAGAGGGACGGACGGCGGGGTCCTCCCGGGCTCAGCGGCTCCCCTCCCCGGCACACACAGCAATAAGTTTCTCTCCCTCCGACGTGGGCGGGGCGAGCCTGGCCTGTCCGGGGGGAGGGGGAGGGGGTGGCGGCCAGGGGGCGCTCTCAGGGATGGGGGCGGGTGTCCGGAGTCAGTCAGTGTGGGGAGGGGAGGTCTGCAAATCGTCCAACTCTGGTGCTAACGGCGGGTCTTCTCAAGCCCGCCCCCAGGGCAGGGAGGGAGGGGTCGGCAGGCCCCTCCCCCAGGCCTCCCCACGCCCACCCTGGGTGCATGAACCGCCCGATGCAGAAGCTGCCGCATGTCACCCCCCAAAAAAGAAAAAGTGTCATGCCCCCCTTCCACTCACCCTTCTCATTCCCCACCGAAATTAAAGTTTCCTTTTCATTTAAAAGCTGCGTCCTGTCCGTGTGTTGGGGAGCCTCCCGGGGAGGGCTGGGGAGCTTTTGGGGGTCCACAGAGGGGTACTGGGTCTTCAAGACCAGGGGTTGGGTTAAAGTGGCAGGCATGCGAGACCGGTTTGGCTCAATGGATAGAGCGTCAGCTTGGGGACTGAAAGGTCCCGGGTTCGATTCCGGTCAAGGGCATGTACCTTGGTTGCGGGCATATTCCCAGTAGGGGGTGTGCAAGAGGCAGCTGATCGATGACACTCATCGATGTTTCTAGCTCTCTATCTCTCTCCCTTCCTCTCTGTACAAAATCAATAAAATATATTAAAAAATAATAATAATAAAAAATAAAGTGGCAGGCATGGGTGTGCATTCTGGGGGCCCAGGCATGCCCGTGAACACCTGCTCTCACTTGGTGATTTGAGGTGAGTGCCTGCCTACACCCCTAGCTGGGAAGTCTGAGGGCACCTGGATGATGGGAGCTCCTGAGAGTGACTGGTCCCCAGGAGAGGAGGGACCTGGGTCCCCAGCGTGTGCTCAGGGGCTCAGGGCAGCCCGCTCCCTATTGCTAACTACGAAGACAGTCTGCCTGGGTTCAACTTCGTGGCTTGGGCAAGTCTCGACCTCTCTGGGCTTCTGCCACTCTAAAAGGCCAGGAGGGACCGTGGCCGGTTTGGCTCAGTGGTTAGAGCAGTGGCCTGAGGACTGAAGGGTCCCAGGTTCCATTCCGTTCAAGGGCTTCTGCCTGCGTTGTGGGCTTGATTCCCCAGTGGGGGGCATGCAAGAGGCAGCCGATCCATGAGTCTCTCATCATTGATCTTTATGTCTCTCCCTCTTCTTTCCTCTCTGAGATCGGTAAAAATATGTTTAGCCCTAACCGGTGTGGCTCAGTGAATAGAGCTTCGGCCTGCGGACTGAAGGGTCCCAGGTTCGATTCCCATCAAGGGCATGTACCTTGGTTGCGGGCACATCCCTAGTAGGAGGTGTGCAAGAGGCAGCTGATGGATGTTTCTCTCTCATCGATGTTTCTAGCTCTATCCTTCTCCCTTCCTCTCTGTAAAAATCAATAAAATATATTTAAAATTTTTTAATGTTTTTTAAAAAAATAAAAGGCCAGGACAGCATGATCTAGTCATTCAGCAAATATATTATGAAAGCCAACTGGGTGCCAGGCACTGTCCAAGGTGCTGGGAAGCAATGAGATCTTCGCCTCTAGATGTGCTGGGAATTGAGGCAAACGTCTTGTGTTCAGCACAGCTAAATAGACAGCCACGGCCTCGGCCACGGCCTGGGCCTCCATTGTTTTGCAAAGACTAGGCGGCCAGCCAGAGGCCAGAGCACAGCAAGCACCCCACTGCCACTCCTGGTTTAGAGCCGCAGCCGCCTCCTCTGGATAATGGACGCAATGCTTTGAAGGGAGGCGGGGATGTGGGCGTGGGGTGACGTCAGGTACCAGGAGGTCCCCCAACACCGACCAGCTGTGATCAGAATCAGCAGGCTGCCCACCTGCAGCCCCAGCAGGTGCAAGAAGCCAGTGCCCGCCTGGACCCACCAGAGACCCCCCCTCCCCCCCGCAGAAACACACACCACCCCGCGGGGGCCAGTTGGGGCTGGAGTTTATTTCCACCAGAGCTGGAGGCCGGAAAGTCAGGGTGACCCCTCCAGCCCCCACGGGGACTCTAACCAGACTGTGATCACACGAGAGCGACAGAAGGGAGGGGGTGAGACAGGCCCCCTGATCCTGCTCCTCTGCAGGAATTAAAGGCTGAGAGACAGGGGGCCGGGCCGGGGGGGTCGGGGGCGGGGGGAGAAGAGGAGGCCATGGCCAGCCCTGCCTGAGGAGGGCAGGGAGGGGGAAGGCACGCTCACTTCCTAATAAAGACCATCAACATCTGAAGTAAGTATGGGAGCTGTATGGGTCCACAGCGTTCGAACGACACCCGAATTTCCACTCCAGTGAGAGAGCCCCAGTCCTTGCCTCCTGCTCCCCACCTGGGCTCTTTGGTGTTCTGCGTTTGTGGAGGCCTCAGGGGGCCCTCTGGGGTGGGGCTGATGAGTGGGTGGTGCCAGCAGGGGGCACCATTTCCAAAGTGCAAGAAGCCACAGGGTGGGTTCGGGGGACCCTCCAGGGCCAGGGAGGGAGGGGCTGGTGGCTCGGAGCGGGGAGGGGTCACTGGGGCTGCACTTCCTGGGGCCCGTCGGACTCCTGGGGCTGCGGGCCAGAACCTGGCTCTGCCACCTCAGCCTCCTCGTCCGAGGCCACGCCCTCCTCCAAGCGGAACACCTGGCGCACAGTGCGGGTGGTGAAGGTGAGGGGCGCGCGTCTGTGGGCGAAGGGAGAGACAGGCAGACAGGTTACAATTAGGGGTGTCGAACTCAATCAGAGAAGGGGCCAAAATCTAAAATCCAGCCTAAATCGCGGGCCGAATGGTTTACTGAACAGTCATAAACTGTCATTGTGATGGGAATGCAGCGGAGTGCAGTGATGACAGCGCGGTGCGGGCCACATTACAAGGCCTGGCGGGACGGATTTGGCCCGCGGGCCTTGTGTTTGACACATGTGGGTTACATGAAGGGAGCAGAGGAAAAGTGAGCGATAGGAGAGAGACATAATACAATGAGGGGAGAGATGAGATGGGGAGGGATGGAGAGAGATGGGCAGAGGGCAAGGGTGGGTGCAGAGAGAAAGGGGGGAATCCAGGGACAGAGAGGTGAGGACAGAGGGACTGAGAATGATGGGGACAGAAGACAAAAGAGAAAAGAGAGTAATGGGAGGGCCAGAAATGGGGGACAGAGAGGGGGGACAGGTGTTTATGGGGTGAGGGGGTGTGTGTGCAGGTGGCCATACCGGAGCCGGTTCCTCAGCGTGGTCACCTCGCGGTTCATGGACTCGGCAGACTCTGTGACGTCCTCCAGCTCCCGCTGCAGCCTTCGCCGGCCGGCCTGAGCCCGGGATGCCTCTTCCTCAGCCTCCTCCAGCTGCCGCTTCAGCTGCTTCACCCGAAGGTTCCCCTTCTCCAGCTTGGCGGGAGCAAGGAGGCCAGGTCATGTCTCTGGGTGTCGTCCTTGTCCTCAGCCCTAAGTCTTCTCACTCTATCTGTCCCACCAACCAATTCTCTGGAGCCACACTGGTAACCTTTTTGCTCCGAATCCACCAAGCTTATTTCCACACCCCAAGGCCCTTTCACCTGGCGTTCGCTCTGCCTGCCTCTTCCTCAAGCTTCAGGTATCAATTCAAATGACACCTCCTAGGAGAGGATTTCTCAATCCTCTGTGTCTCCCTTGTTCTTCATTCTTTTTTCTATATAGCCTTTGTCACAATCTATAATTATCTTCGCTTGTTTATTGGTTTCTTGTGTATTTCTTTTTCTATTCTGAAAATGTGAGTTCTGTGAGGGCAGGGACCTTCTCTGTCTCATTCACAGCCATATCTCCAATGCCCAGCATATATTGGATACAAAATAATTGCAGAATGAATGGTGAATACAGCTGAGCTTTTAAGGGCGCAGTGATACCATATAGAGCAGCGGTCGCCAACCTTTCGGACCTCATGAACCTCCAGTGGTGCGCGAACCACCAGCTGGCAACTGCTGCTCCAAAGGTTTCCCTTTAAACCAATAGTTGCCAATCTTTCAGACCTCTGGGGCCACTGGTTGGCGACTGCTGTATAGAGTCTGACACCTGGAATCTGATCCAGGATCTGTCTTTACTGACTGTGACTTTGATGCAAATTATATATCCCCTTTAAAAGTTGGGATAACTTTTAAAGGGGATATATTCACCTGGGAAATCAGACTAATGAGAGAACACAAGCATGTATTTTTTTAAAAAGTGGAATTTAAGTAGTGGTTATGAAGACCTGGGGGGGAGGGTAAGGGCTGAGAAGAGGAAGAAAGGGGAATATAGGAGATATCTGTAATACTATCAATAATTTAAAAAATACATAAAAAATAAAGCAAAATAAATAAAAATAAAAAAAATAAAGCAAGTGGTTCAGTGGTTGAGCGTCGGCTCATGAACCTCTTGGTTACTGGTTTGATTACCAGTCAGGGCACATGCCTTGGTTGTGGGCTGGATCCCCAGTGGAGGGAGTGCAGGAGATAGCTGATTGATGATTCTCTCTCATCAATGCTTCTAGCTCTCCCCCTCTCTCCCTTCCTCTCTCTAAAATCAATAAAAACATCTTTTTAAAAAAGAACTTAAAGAGAAAAAGCAGGCAGCACAGAGCGTGGGACTCAGTAACTGCTCAGTAATTAAGAGCACAGGCTCTGCGGCCACGGTGCTGGGGATGTGAACCCTCACTCAAGCTCTTTCAAGCAAAACATTTCCGAGCAAGCTGTTTCACCTTCCTGTGCCTCTGTTTCCTCATATGACACAAGGGGAATAACTATACCACCACAGTGTTCTCATAAGAAATAAGTGGACTCCTCGTATGGGTTTAGCAGAGTGCCCAGCTCATCGAAATAAATAGTATGTGTTGCCGAAACCGGCTTGGCTCAGTGGATAGAGCGTCGGCCTGCAGACTGAAAGGTCCCAGGTTCGATTCCGGTCAAGGGCATGTACCTTGGTTGCGGGCACATCCCCAGTAGGGGGTGTGCAAGAGGCAGCTGATCGATGATTCTCTCTCATCGATGTTTCTAATTCTCTATCCCTCTCTCTTTCTCTCTGTAAAAAAATCAATAAAAAAGTATTTAAAAAATAAACAAATAAACAGTATGTGTTGTTTTAGCCCTGGCCTAGCCTCTCCTTGGCTGTCTCAGCTCCCAGAATGCTCAGCCCTCCTAGGTTCAACATTTGTGGGTCACAAAGTCACTGACTCCAGCTCTGTGCGATGGCACCACGCCCCGGGTGGTGTCTGCGTTAGTTCCAGGCCGGCAGCACCCACACTTGGCCTCCTGTGACGGGAACCCGCTGCTATTTCCCTGTGGGCGGTCCCCACCCCCACCGCTCCCGCGTGAGGTCAGCCGCTCACCTGGTCCCTGAGCTGGTCGGCCACCCTCCGCTCCTCCTCCACCTGCAACACCACCTCTTTAAGCCGCTTCTCGGCTCTGCGCACCAGCTTGCCGGAGAGGATGCGCTCCCTGGAGAGAGGCGGGAAGGGGACAGTCAGGAGAG